GTCCAACACGTTTTCCCAGAAGCTTATCAGTGCTTGGTGGCAAATGCACACATACATCATTCTCAGTCTCTGTTACAGTGATGGCTGTCTGGCAGGTTTATTTCATTTAAACAATGTGCAGTACTTGGTTAAAGAATGGTTTACAGGTAATGAAATGATTGCAGCTTACTAGAGACAGTCCATGAATCCTGTCTATTTTAGGATATTATATGATGCCACTGATGCCAATAAATCATGCGCTGTGGATTAAAAAGTGCGTGGCTTAGTTATGTATGCACTAACATATGGTTCAAACAGGTGAGGGGGATCAAAATATTTTGTACCTAATAGCATAGTTTGTAAGGGCTGTTAGCATTTTCATTTATCAGTTTTGTCTTTTTATAGCAGATAGGCCTTCTAATGTGCAAATTAGCTAATCATTTAAATCAAATATAACATGAATTAATTGCCTTTGCTTAGCTGTTATTGATAGCTTGTTTTTTAAAGTTGAGCCTTTGGCCTCCCATCCTTAACCTTGCCTCGACGGTTGAACTATATCGTATGTAAGCCCGTTGATGAAATCTCACATAAACTTTAACGTGTCAATGCAATTTGTGAGTGATTAATATATTTAAATATGCAGCTTTCATTAAAATAGCACCAGGTGGTCCTGCCATAAGGGGCCTTCCCTCTCATGGGGTGACAATGCTCTATACCAATTCTGCTACAGCCTCTCATTGAGACTACAAATGGCCTTTTCCACACATATTACATGGTCCACTGTTGTCAAAATGTCATGCAGCCATGGCTTTCTTCTAAATTGTTTGCATATGTTTGTTAAGCTGACCATACACTAGCAGAATATGGTTAGCATAATTTCATTTTTGTAACATTTGTCGATTTTCTAATCATTAGTGAGATCAAACTGATGTTCGTTTTGGATTGTATGGACAAGAAAATTTGAAGGAGGAGGATGAAACATTTCTTTTAACAGTGTACAGTACAGTATGTGATTTTTGTTTTGGAAATTACAATCATTCTAAAACCATATGTTAAAGGTCAATTATATTTCAAAGTATTTTCAAAATGACATTCGTCCATTCCTTCCTCCATCTCTTCTGGAGATCTTGTGACCATGACTCACCTGTGCTGTGGAGGAGTGTGTCCTCCAGGAGGATTCTTGATGATGATCAGGTATGTTCCAATATCCGTCACCTATATCTGTTATCCTAATGTGAGTGATCAGTGTAGTATACAGTATAGTCTATACTATAGAGTATACAGTATACTACACTGATCAATCACATTAGGGGTTAAAATTTCAAGTCCAGACCTACTAGCCGGTCATAAAACTTACTCTCCTCCAGTTGCCCCACCCAACCTTGCCCACATCTGCCCCCAACCCCACCCCCGGTCCACCCCAAACCCCACCCCTGGCCCGACCCCAACCACGCCTCCTTAAAGCTTATGAAATTACATCTTTCTTTAGAATAAATAGTTAAAAATATAAAACTGTACACAGTAATGTATATCCCAGCTCCCCTGTACTCCATTATAGTGATATGACATGTATACAGTAATGTATATCCCCCCTCCCCTGTACTCCCTGTATGACATTATACAGTAATGTGTACTCCATTATAGTGATATGACATGTATACAGTAATGTATATCCCCCCTCCCCTGTACTCCATTATAGTGATATGACATGTATACAGTAATGTATATCCCCCTCCCCTGTACTCCATTATAGTGATATGACATGTATACAGTAATGTATATCCCAGCTCCCCTGTACTCCATTATAGTGATATGACATGTATACAGTATTTTATATCCCAGCTCCCCTGTACTCCATTATAGTGATAGGACATGTTGTATACAGTACTTACTGTCCCCCCGAGTCCCCCATGGCGGTGGAGAGGGTGTCTCCTCTCAGCGGAGGAGAGCGGACCTCTCCTGCACCTGTCCCCTCGACGGCGGTGCCGCAGAAGCCAGAAACCGGAAGTTGTAAACCAGAACTCGGCTTCACAATGAGGCTTGGAGCGCAGGTGCAGATGCTCCATGCTTCATCTGTGCTCACCGCTCGCAGCCGCTTGCCACAGAGGAATTTCTCCTCGCATTTGGCGAGCGGCTTTTTCAAGCCCTGCTCTATAGTACATGTACTGAGTATAGTGTATCGTATATATTAGGGTTACATAAACTTTTGTAGAACTACAATTCCTATAGTTTCTCCTCCTGTGAGAGTCATGTGTATGGCTGCCATCCCTAGAACATGTACTTTGATAAGTCCTGTAGGGCCATACATAAACTGTGTCTTAGATTGTAAGCTCCAAGGAGCAGAGCCCTGCTAACCCTCTTGTATTGAACTGTATTGTTTCTGTATTGTGTGCCGTTATATTGTAAACTGAGCATACCGTATGCACTATATGAAGCCTGTATAATAATAATAATAATATTTTATATATTGTCTAGAAAAGTAAACTGTATATAAACTCTAACAATAATTTTCAAATTTTCTCCAATTTTTTTTTATCTTTAAATATACCATTGAAAGTGTATTATATCTGACAAGTGCAAAAAAAAAAGACCTGTTCATGAAATCTTGTGAGCTGGTAACAGTCCAGAGGCAGAGAGCAGAGAAACCTGTTAACATTGCTCTCTGTTATCTCTGTGGACTACAAAACACGTTGCCTCATAATGGAGAAGAGAGAAAAGTGTTATGTAGTCCTAACACCATCTCCATCTCAGTGTAACAACTCTTCTCAGTACGGTTGTCACTCTAGGACAGGAAGTGTTTTAATGAGAGGCTTAACAATGTAAAGAAAAAAAAGAAAACTAAAGTCGTCACCACGTGTAATCTGCAATACTATCAATATTTTTGGGGGGGTTTACATGTTCTTAAAGGTTAGTAGTGAGTGAGTGCAGTATATAGGTGACTTCTAAAGGGAATTGGTTTAACTAGATGTTAGTTAGGGGTATCAGAGTAAAGGGGGCTGAATACAAATGCACGCCACACTTTTCATATATTTGTAAAAAAATGTTGAAAACCATTTCTCATTTTCCTTCCACTTCACAATTATGTGGCACTTTGTGTTGGTCTATCACATAAAATCCCAATAAAATACATTTACATTTATGGTTGCAACATGACAAAATGTGGAAAATTTCAAGGGGTATGAATGCTTTTTCAAAGCACTGTATATACCAGGGTTATGTAAATATTGTCACTCCAGGGGTTGTGAAACTACAACTTCTAGAATACTTCCGACTGCAGGAGTGATACTTGTTCCTCCAGCAGTCATTTTTTAGTGGAATTTTATTTATAAAATTATGTCCTGATAGATCACTTCTTGCTGGTCTCTTTTGCAGGTATAGGTATGTGGAACAGAAAATAAGTGCCTGTACTGTTTAAAATTCAGTACTACATTGTCTCACCCTGCTCTGCACATGCTTAGTTGCTCTTTATTCTTGGCATTGTGTCTAAAATCAGAGCATCTAGAAGCCGACCTGCTGATAGCTTTAAGATGTACTGCTGCCAAACGGGGAAGAGAACAACAGGAACTAGAAAAGCTACAATTTCTGGGGAAATTGTGTGAAGTGTTCTTGCCTCCCACCAGTAGTCTACAACTAAAGCGGGCGGAGTAGCTTTTGTCACTCTGCTGCCTGCTCACACACCTGGGTTCCTATGGCAACTCACTCTACAGCAAGGGCAGAGGAGCGGTTAAAAACAAACTGCTCCAACTTGCTCACTTCACTGGCGGTTGCCTTCTTTAAACGGTTATAGTTTTAAAATTATAAATCCTACACCGACCGAAGAGCTTTATATTGTGAGAATCACAAGACCCAGACCTATATTTTGATGCATAGTATGTCTCTGAAATATTAAAAATGACACAGTCGCAGATTAGAAATTGTCCTTTAAATTTCAGGTGCTTAGAGTGGAGTTTCAATGAATGTCAATGGGCAGCGTGAGTTGCAAACAAATGGTCATATTGTGAAAAACTATCAGGACTATGGCTTAGCCGTGGATATTTTTAGTGGCAGCAGGGATTGCTGAACATTTTGATATAAGATTTGTGTAGGTGGGCTTGAAAATGAGGGAGTGATGGCAGTTTAGAAATCATGTCCTGATTTTTCAGCTCACAATCTAGCTTTTGTCAGCTCCCACTCTAGTTTTGAACATTCCGCCATTCATTCCTATGGGACCAATTTCACCACAAAAACGGCGATATTTCGTGAACCATTCGGTGAAACGCTCCACAAAGTAATAGCACACCAATCGGGAATAATCCACATGTTTCGGTATATTACTGTCTATGTAGTGTAAAAACTGTGGGAGGAGTTAGGGTGGTAAATTTGGTAAAATAATAAGAAGAATATATATGTGAGATAACAGTAAGTGGTCTTGCCATGCAAGAACACTTAATGACACAGACTGTGCTGAGGGAACACAGAATGGGGAGGTGACAGGGCAAAGTCTGCTGCCAGGGAGATACAAAAGTCAAACCTATGAGGATAGTGTCTTATCTTATCTCCCTGATATTTTCTCCTTAAGCCCCGTACACACAATCAGAATATCGGACGAATGGTCGTCCCTTTTTTTTGCATGCTAGTCTCATATCAAAAGTGAAAAGGCTAATAAAGTTATGGAAATTTTTAGCGATGGAACAAAAATTCTGAAGAATGTAATGTATTTGTATTATATTTTCAGACGGCTACTGTACTGGTTAAATGAAAATCGTACGATCCAGTATTGTACAAGAAAAAATGTTGTGCTTGTCCCTTCTATTTTGTTCAGACGATTGCTGTGCACTAATGATCATCTTATCATACGATCGTTTTAAAAGCGGCATTGTTCGTACGATATTCTGATCTTGTATATGGGGCATTAGGAAAGTATGTGAACTTCAGCACTGTAAAGCTTCTGTCAGCCTTTCTCTCTACCTGAATCAAGACATACAATCAAAGCTAGAAATGGACATTTTTTTAATTGAAGAAAGTGACATATAGTTTGTGAGACCAAGAAGAGGGAGAGAGTTTCCAACAGGGGCGGACTGATAACTCATGAGGCCCCCGGGCAATAGGGGATCATGGGGCCCCTGTGTCCTCGCCCACACCTAAAAAAGCCTATGAAAAAGCCAATGAAAGGTACCAGGGGCATCTCATGGGGCCCCCTACTGACCCCGGGCCCTCGGGCAGTGCCCGAGTGCCTGAATGGTCAGTCTGCCCCTGGTTTCCAATAAGAAAGTGACTGCTCTGGGCTTCAACTAAATGGCAGTCTCCAGCAAGAAAAAACAGGAGCAATGTTGCAGACAATTTACAGCACACATTAACGTTGGTAGAATAATTATTAATATAGAATTTATGTTCTTTTGTTATCCACTTGACCTCCAGAGGATTTACCCCCCCCCCCCCCCTTCCTGATCAGGCCATTTTTTGCGTTACGGTGCTGTGTTATTTTAACTGACAATTGCACAGTCATGCAACGCTGCCCCCAGAGGAAATTTACATCCTTTTTTTCCCTATGAATTGAGCTTTCTTTTGGTTGTATTTGATCGCCTGTGTGGTTTTTAATTTTTTGCACTATAAAGCAAACAAAAACTGACAATTTTGAGAAAAAAAAAATCAATATTTTAGACTTTTTGCTATTAAGCATGTCCAGTAAAAAAAATTTTAAAAATCAAATTTCATCATAAATGTAGGCTAAAATGTATTCTGCTCCATGTCTTTGCTAAAAGAAATCCCAATACATTTAAATTAATTGGTTTACGTAAACGTTATAGCGTTTACAAATGACGGGATACTGGGATTTTGTTTTTCCCTACTAGCAATGGCGGTGATCAGCTAATTGTAATGGAACTGTGGTGGGCATTCTGACACTGGGGGGAACTGACTTGGTGTCACTGACATCCCCAGTGACACCAATACATTGATCAGTGCTAAAAACAGCAATGGCACTGTACTAATGACACTGGGCAGGAAGGGGTTAATGTGAGGGGCGATCAAAGGGTTAACTGTGTAGGGAGTGGTTTACTAGGGGGCGGGGGTGTGGGTTTGTACAGCACAGCCATCCCGAGCAGTGGGCCCGAGGCGGACAGGCAGGAAGACTGTTTGTAAACAAAACAATCTTCCTCCCAGTTGGTGATAGTCAATCACCCAGTACTGGCGTCTAATCACTGGCTAGGACCTGGTGATTGACATCCGCAGCTGCGAAGGGTGTGCCCCTTACCTGGAAATGCAATGTAGCAGTATATCTGCTATAGGGTGGCGGGTAAGTGCTTAGGGAACATTAATTATTATCAAACTGTTATGGGTAAAGTTCCTCTTTAAGATGCTTTCGGACTTGTAGTACCAAAGAACCAGTTCTGGCTTATATAAAACCTCTGTAATGTAATAGTTCTTTTTAGATAAAACAATGTTCTCCCTCATTCTTAATTAAGACAGTAAATACTTGTAGCTGATGCTGTTATCACACTGGATGTTACATATAGCTGCTTGCCTAATAGCTGATACTATTTGCTGCTATCACACTGGATGTTATATAAGCTGCTTGACGTGATTATCCACACTGGCTGAATAAAATATACTACACTATATCAGCCTTTTGTCCTGGTGGCTTATTTGAGCTACTTAAGGTGGATCTCACTTTGATGCTGAACTTACCTGATGCCGGGTGTAAGTGAAACCTAAAGCAGTTCCTATTACCAGAGAGGGTCCACTGAGAGGTCCGGAGTACAGTCCCTGGGTATACCAAGCGCCGTCAGAGTGTCACATCCCCACCGGGTTCCAGATGACCACCAGTGCCCTATATACTACATGCGTAAAAAATTTTTACGTCTGGTGAGTGCAAGCACACCCCTTTTTTGACTATCACGGAAGTCACGAGCACCTTATTATGTGATGGAAGTTGAATGGGAATGATTGATATCTTCCTATTTGGGAATACTGACACACCTTTCTGAAAACTTTAATGGACTTTTGTATATTTATGCATTATATTTATGTGATGTAATGTGTTTACATAATACCATTGTCACTTTATAATATTTACTGTCTTAATTAAGACATCACTTTTTGTATCACTTACTAGCGCATAATTTTGCACATTTATCACTTCTTCACTTTAATAATTTTTGAGCGCTGCATTTTATGATTATATATACAGTGGGGATCGAAAGTTTGGGCACCCCAGCTAAAAATTTGTATTAATGTGCATAAAGAAGCCAAGGAAAGATGGCAAAATCTCCAAAAGGCATCAAATTACAGATTAGACATTCTTATAATATGTCAACAAAAGTTAGATTTTATTTCCATCATTTACACTTTCAAAACAACAGAAAACAAAAAAATGGCGTCTGCAAAAGTTTGGGCACCCTGCAGAGTTAATATCTTGTACTGCCCCCTTTGGCAAGTATCACAGCTTGTAAACGCTTTTTGTAGCCAGCCAAGAGTCTTTCAATTCTTGTTTGAGGTATCTTTGCCCATTCTTTCTTACAAAAGTCTTCCAGTTCTTTGAGATTTCTGGGCTGTCTGTCACGCACTGCTCTTTTAAGGTCTATCCATAGATTTTCAATTATGTTGAGGTCAGGAGATTGTGAAGGCCATGGCAAAACCTTCAGTTTACGCCTCTTGATGTAATCCCCCATAGATTTCGAGGTGTGTTTAGGATCATTATCCATTTGTAGAAGCCAACCTCTCTTTAACTTCAGCTTTTTCACAGATGGCATCAAGTTACCATCCAAAATTTGCTGAAATTTTATTGAATCCATTTTTCTTTCTACTTGTGAGATGTTCCCTGTGCCACTGGCTGCAACACAACCCCAATGCATGATTGATCCAACCCCATGCTTAACAGTTGGACAGAGGTTCTTTTCATTAAATTCTGTGCCCCTTCTTCTCCAAACGTACCTTTGCTCATTCCGGCCAAAAAGTTCAATTTTAACCTCATCGCTCCACAGAACTTGTTTCCAAAATGCATCAGGCTTGTCTATATGTTCATTTGCAAAGTTCAAACGATGATTTTTGTGGTGAGGACGTAGTAGAGGTTTTCTTCTCATGACTCTTCCATGAAGACCATATTTGTACAAATATCTCTTTATAGTGGAATAGTGTACCACAACTCCAGTGTCTGCCAGATCTTTCTGGAGGGATCGTGCAGTCAAACGTGGGTTTTGAATTGTTTTTCTCACAATCCTGCGAGCTGTTCTGTCTGATATTTTTCTTGGTCTTCCAGATCTTGATTTAACTTCCACTGTTCCTGATGACTGCCATTTCTTAATTACATTCCAAACAGAGGATATTGACATCTGAAAACACTTTGCTATCTTCTTATAGCCTTCTCCAGCTTTGTGAGCGTCAACTATTTTCAGTTTCAGTTTTCTAGACAACTGCTTAGAAGAACCCATGGTGCTGATTGTTGGGGCAAGGTCAGATGAGTCTGGCATTTAAAACGTTTGAGCTTGACATCACCTGGTCTTCGCAGACGATGATTGAGAACAATCCATGACACTGGCAGCTCTCAGCTTGGCAAAGGGGGCAGTGCATGCTATAAATTCTGCAGGGTGCCCAAACTTTTGCAGACGCCATTTCTTTGTTTTCTGTTATTTTGAAAGTGTAAATGATAGAAATAAAATCTAACTTTTGTTGACATATTATAAGAATGTCTAATCTGTAATTTGATGCCTTTTGGAGATTTTTCCATCTTTCCTTGGCTTCTTTATGCACATTAATACAAATTTTTAGCTGGGGTGCCCAAACTTTCGATCCCCACTGTATATGTTCAAGGATTTTAGGGGTTTCCTTATGCAAGCTGCTTTTATACTAGATTGAGAAGCGCTCGCTTTATTATTTATAATTTCTCCCTCATTCTACTTGGTTTATGGAATGCCCATCTTTGCATAATTGCCATTGATGTTGGGGCATATGGAGATTGGGGAGATTTCCTTACCTTTTGGAAGTCTGCAATAGGCCATAGGTTATAGGAGGGACACCTATGGATTCCACCCAGGACGCCACTGCCTGGAACCACTGAGCCAAGTCTGCCATTTGTCATTGTGGAAGATGAGGCATTTGGCTTGCTTAAGAACTTGATGTGACCTTATTGTGGTCATGGACTTACAGATACACAAAAAAATCCTTACTTACTGACTTAGCCAGACTCATTATGTGGTGAAGTCTGCATATGGAATCCTGACTGTTAAGTGCCGTATCCTTCTCTCTATCCTATACATTTAGATGTGGAGAATGCAATTCCAGTTGTGCTTGCATGTACAAGGCTCCATAACTATGTCATGCTACGACAGAGAGAGCATCTGCAGTCCCAGGGCCATGGAGCTGAGGTCAGGATGTTCAGTTCACAGACTTGCAGCTCCTTATGTATGCCAAAGTCAAAATGACTTTGCTAGCTACATGGCAAAATGATTACATATAATTTGCTTTTCATAATAGTAACAGATTTGTGAACTGCCTGTAATTTCTTTTGTCATTTGCTACATTTCACAGAGGGACAAGCGTCTTGAGATGAAGTCTGGCCAGTATTAGCAGGTTTTCTCAGTCAACCACTAATGTTGATGACCCCTACCAACAGGTTCAGCGCTGTCTTCCAATAGCATGTACCGGAGATCTCACGTCTTCTGCCACAGGTCTCTAGAGAAGAAAACAAATAATGTTAGAAATGGAATACATGCAAAAATTTGCCATGACGTGAATGAAAATACATGTGTGGCACCCTCCTAGTCAGGTGCTAGGATGTGTATAGTTAGGTTAAGCATAGCTGTTTTTCTCTGCTTACCAGAGAGACTGTCAGGTAAATTCAGTATTCTGCTTAATAGAGTGCTGTGATTGACTGTTCAGGTCTGCTCATGCTGCTCTGGTGCTGTTGGAGTTTGTCTGAGATCTGCCCAGCTTCAGGAAGCTATGAGAGTCTTCCAGAACATGGGTAGAGCTAGGCAAATGAACAGCATGAATATGGATACATCCCCAGCCAATTGCAGGGGAAGGCAGTCCCATTGCATGCTGGGAGTGATATATATATTCTGAGAGCACAGGGGTTCAGGGGCTTTTCCCAGGAGCAGATTGCACCAGCCAGGCTAGAGGCAGGCTACTTCACCTGGCACTTGCTGCCAAACGGTCTCAGGTGGGTCAACCTGAGGGACCGAAGTTAAAGAGAGTGACCCTGGTTCTTCAGTAAGCTCACTGAAGGGAGTTGTCCGAGAAAGCTCTGTCTTGTGTC